CCGTTACCGAGAAACTCCTAAAAAAGACGAAGTCCCCCACCCCCTTCTCCTTTTATGCCCTTTCTTTCAATTGAAACCCGACCCTTCTCTCCCTTATAAATTCCTCTCTCTTTCTACAAACCGGTAAATCCTCTCTCTCCCTCCCTCCCTCCCTCCCTCCCTCCATTGTTTTCGCTCAATGCTCAACTGTTTTCTATTTATAGTTGATGATTCGTTGATCTTGATAGTTGATGCTACATGGGGGAATTTTCCAGGACGTCATCGAACTTACAAGTTTGTTTCATGTTGGTCATCCGACTTAAGTTTTTGACTATTTTGTATGATAGATCTCACATTTTTTGTTTTGAAATGGTGAGTAGTGGCAAATGTCGTCAATCGTGCCGATTCGTAATTTTTCGGACGGTAAAAAATACAATCGGCTATAGTAACAATTACAAACTCTTGGACTAATTTGAAACAAAATATAAAATTAGATAATAAAATTAAAATATCCATATTCGGACAGGCTTGTAACTTACAACCGAAAGTGTCTAATCCCGTCAAGTCCGAACTAATTCCTAAGTTGGATTGATTTATAATATTAATCAACCCACATGCACGTAACACACATGAATGTCCACGCGTATCAAAAGTCAATACAACTCGGAGAGGTGTGGGTGTTGGAAAATGATAATGAAATCAATTCAGAATTGAATGAAAAGTTGAAAAATCATTCCATTACACAATTGAATGAAAGTTACACAGTTTCTTCCGTTGCAATACACAAACGTCTTCAGCTTCATCCAGAATGTTGTAACTCATTATTCAATGCATTAAAAAGCTGGCTCATTCTCTATGGGTATAAATAGGAGATTGCTCTTGCTTGGAAAACACAACAAGAGAAAGATACAAGTTTTCTTCCCTTCCAGCATCAAACTTCTTCCTTTCGATCTTAAACTTTTTCTTTCCTAATTCCTTGAGAGATAGAGTATATCACAACTAATTCGTAGGCGGTTAACGTAGTGTAGCGTGAACCGATAACCGATTGTATCTTGGAAATCGAACACCGATCATAACCTCTTGCACTCTGGTGAGGTGACAAATTCGATTTAAGAAAACCGTGTAAACACGGGGCCTTCGATTTTTGATTGATTTACTTTGATTCTCCAATTTTTCCCAACAAGGTTAAATCGAAATCATTTGGTGGAACAAATTCCTTTT